CATCCACCCCAGTCAGCAAGTACCTTCTTCCCATCCCATCTTGGCTTCACTCATAAGGAGGGGATGATGCAAGTCTGAGCCTGCACTTGGGACATCCTCGGAGTCTTTGTTTTGTGTATCTTCCAGGATCCACTCAAATGTAGATCCTAGTCCATTCCCTCTGTGTTCCACAGTCACATGTGCTCAGGGCTTCTGGCTGTGAGAGAGAGGAGATTAACCAATGCTAAATGATAAGGATGGCATGTTATGTCCAGATTGATTCCAAACCAGCTCATCACAGGGCTGGTGCCACAGTGTGCATCCCAGAGGGATTAATGACGATTAGACACTCTCCTTGTGGAGCAGAACTGGAGAAGTCGTAATTACTTGGTGTTTATGCCTCCTCAAATGAAACAAATGAGCATTTCCTTCCACACAGAAAAGCCTACGCATCTGAGCGTTATTAGCTGCAAACTAGGTTTTCAGCAGATGCGAGCTCCGTTATTAACCAACCTAAGGGAAGCAGCCGTGGAACCACGGCTGGAGACTACACTAGAATCTTGCTGGAACTAACTTTATGGTGAGATTGTTCAGGGAAGCCACCACATCATATCCCAGAGATTTCTTTGTCATAAAACAGAAACAAAATTATGCTGTGAAATATCCTTGGTTGAGGACAAGGAAGGCTTTCTGTTTAAGCAATGTTTTTCTTGCTAAACCCAGCTTTGAAATCTGAAAAACAACGTGATTGTTTTCCCACCTGATTACACTTTAATTTTTTAAACTAGCAATGCTCCTTCAAGGGGGAGTTAAACTTTTGAATCAACTAGAAACTTCTCAGTAATGAGGTATTTCTTTACCACCCCATCCCATGGTTTTGGAGCGTTGTCTGTCTCCTGTCTCTTGGGACCACTTGACAGTGTGAAAATGCTCGAAGGCTCTAGGGGACAACCATTCTACAGCTCTTTGATGCAAGTGACAACCATGTTCCTTGAATTCTAGGAAAATGTGGGATTTTTTTTCCTGTCCAGTTGTCATACACTTTAATAAACAACTCGTCGGCCCAAAGAGCTCAGGCCCAAGAAATTTGTTTTCACCAGGAAGCCAGGTAGGGGGATAGCAAGTCCCCACTCCATGGTCACAATCGTCACAGATTAGATGGAATAATGACTGTCCTTCACAGTGATACTAATGCAAACAGTTCCATTGAGTCTCTAGAGAGTCCAAAGTGTGGACGCTTCCTCTAGGAAACTACTCTGCTAACATCAGTGATTTGCAGGCATTAAATATATACCAGTTATTGTTCAAACACATAACCAGTTCCCTCTCCCCTACTCTCTTGGGCAAGCTACCTCACTACATGTTCGATGCCCTTTTTCTATTATTGAAACAACTATATAAAACAAAGGTGAATCGTTCTATAATTTGGCCTATAAAAATGAAATGGACCGGGTCTTCCATAAATTGGAGCGCCAGGCTAACAGGCTTTGCCCCTTCCAGGAAGTAACTGCAGTGATCAGCCAGCCGTGTGTCATGCCATCCTGGGGAGAATCAGGGGCGCACAAGCCAGTGGCTCTGCTGGCCTGTCTGCCACCCCAGGCTCAGGACTGCTCCCCAGGGGACTGGCCTGCAAGCTGGAGAAAGTGTGTACAAGGGATCTTCCGCCCCCTGCCTCCTTCCCTTGTGATTTTATAGTAATTTGAATGAAGACAATGCATGTCCAGGGAAAGAAGATTTCAGAGGATACAGACAAAGGTTTTAAATAAAAAAGGACCCCTCACTGTCCCCACTACTTCCTGTCCTCTGCAAAGATAACCACTATCAGCTTTTCTTGCATATCCTCTTGGTTAAAATGTTAATGTAACTGCATGTATTTCCATGCTCTTTTAAAATATTTAATCAGGGTTACGTTCTCCATGTATGCTATTTCATATCACATAGATCTCTATTTTTTAAGTATGTTATATTTTACTTTTTTTGTGATAAGATATACATAAAGTTTACCCTTTTACATGCAGCTCAGTGACATTAAGTATATTCAAACCGTCGCATGCAGAACCATGTACAACGTCAGCACTATTCATTTCCAGAACTTTCATCATTCCAAACTGAAACTTTACACTGTTAAATAACTCCTCCTTCTCCTTCCCACCAGGCCTTGGTAACCGCTATTCTACTTCCTGTCTCAACGAATTCATCCATTTCGGTGACTTCATACCTGGGGATTCATATACAATATTTATCCTTTTGCATCTGACTTATGTCACTTAGCATGTTTTCAGAGTTCATCTTTGCTATAGCCTGTATCAGAATTTCATTCCTTTTTATGGCTGAGTAATATTCCATTGGGGGATATAGCACATTTTGTTTATTCATTCATCTCTTGAAGGACATTTGTGTTGCTTGCATCATTTGACTATTGGTGTAAAAGTACTGTTGAGTCCCTGCTTTTAATTATTTGAGGTGTATGGTTAGACGTAGAAGTGTTGGATCATATGGTAATTCTATGTTTAACTTTGTGAGGGTCCACCAGACCATTTTCCACAGCAGCTGCACTATTTTGCATTTCCACGAGGAATGTACAAGGGTTCCAATTTCCCCACATCCTCACCAACATCTGTCATTTGCCCTTTTTAAAAAAAAAAAATCATTGCCATCCTAATGAGTATGAAGTGGTATCTCATTATAATTTTGATCTGCATTTCCCTAATGATTAGTGACATTGAGTATCTGTTCATGTGTATTGAGTATTCATATATCTTTGGAGGAATGTCTATCAAGACCTTGGCCCATTTTTTAATTGGGTTGTTTGTTCTTTTTTGTTGTTGAGTTGTATCTATTTTTAAGTAAGTCTTTAGTTGAAGTATTACATATATATAAATGCCAAAGTCATCAGTGTAGAGCTTGATGAATTTTCAAAGTGAACACATTCCACTAATCACCACCTATGCCAAGAAATGGACTCCATGTTTCACCCCAATCATTACCCCCAACAAAGGTCATCCCTACCTGGACTTCTATCACTCATTTCACTCATTTTCCCTGACATTGAGCTTCAGACACTTGGAATCATGTACTGTGTACTACTACACTCTCTTTTATGTCTGGCTTCTTTAACTCAACATTGTGCTTGCAAGATTTACCTATGTAGTTGCATAGAGCCACAGTTTGTTTTCGTTGCTGTATAGTATTCCAGCAATATGCCTATTCCACAATTTACCGACCTAGTCTACACTTTTTGGGTATTTACCTTGTTTCGGATTGGGCTATTATAAATGGAGCTGCTGGGGGCATTCTTAATGTCTTTTGTTGATTATATGATGCAAATCTTTAGAGAATGCATGCAGGAGGAGACCTGCTAGGTTATATTGGTATGCATCTGCTCAGTCTCAGTAGATGCTGATAAATAATTTCGAAATTATAGAATTGTGTTTTCAATTCAAATCGTTAGTTTTAATTTAAAACATAAAAAAAGTTATGGCACCGAATTATACTCCATCCAGAACAGTTACCCCAGAAAAGTCTCCCAATTAATTTTAGCAATCCATTGTATAGATGCACATAATAAAACTATCCAGTCTTCTCTGAAAAACATTAAGTTGAATATTAGAGTTCCCCAGAGAAACAGAACCAACAGGATCTATGCAGATATATAGAAAGAGACTTATTTTGAGGGTTTGCCTCATGCAATTATGGAGACTGAGAAGTCCCACCACCTGCTTTGCAAGCTGGAGTCCCGGGAAAGCTGGTGGCATGTTTTGCACTAACTCCTAAGGTTGAGAGCCAGGACAGTCAATGGCATGAGTCCTGGTCTGAGTCTGAAGGCTCAGTGACCAGAAGCGCCAATGTCTGAGGGCAGGAGATGGATGTCCCGGGTTAAGCGGAGAGTAAACCCACCTTTCCCCGGTCTTGTGGTTCCATTCAGGCTCTCACCAGACCGGATGTGGCCCATCCACTTTGGTGAGATCGGTCTTTACTCAGTCTACCAATTAAAATGTGATTCTTTTCTGGAAACACCCTCACAGACATACCCAGAAATAGTGTTTTACCAGCTCTCTGGGCATCCCTTGGTCTAGTCATGTTGACCCCTAAAATTAGCCATCACAAGTTGTTTCCAGTTTTTTTTTCTTCTATTTTCTCCATTACAAACTGCTACAATGAGCATCCTTGCACATATCAATTGGCAAATTTTTGCGAACATGATTGTAGGGTAGATTTGTAGCAGGGCAGGAACTTACCTACGCTGTATAGGACCCTGTGTGGGCATTAAGCATTTTGATAGATATTATGAGATTATCCTCCCGAGAGGCTGCAAACGTTTTCATTGCCATCAACATTCTGAGGCCGACTGCCACCCACCACCTCCCTCCCCTGTCCCCAACACTTTAATTTAATTTCTCTCCAATTCAATGCATGAACAATGGCCTCTCTTTGTTGCTCTGATTTGCATTCTTTAATTATGGAGTGAGGTTCTCACTTTCATTTTTAAACTGTCACTGAGTCAGTGACAGGAGGCGGCAGCTTAAACCCAAAGGCAGGACGAGAGCTTCCTCTCTCCACCAGCAGCCTCCCGTGCAAGGCACATGGCAAAGCCCATTCGAATTTAGTTGTCACAGGGACCAACCCTCAGGCTATAAAGTCTCAGAAGCTTCCAGAGTGCATCATAAGTTCTGCTCCTGCCATTATAATTCTTCTCCATGCACCAGGAGCGAGTTTGGGGTTCAGGGGAGCATCGTCTCTCCCAGCCTCGCTCCTGAGGGTGCTTCGTGTCATCTGCTGAGGCAGAAGGTGATCTGGCCCCATTGCCTTCAGCAGCACGTTTGTGAGGACTTGCCTGAGTTGGGGAAGGTCCTCACTGCCTCCTTTGACGGAGAAGGATGAGTTTGAATCCTTCCTGCGGTTGGGCCCACACCTCTGTGAGACTCTAAGGCTGAGGCCCAGCCTGGCTGGTTTTCAGGAAGCCCTCCTGTGGCACCATAACAAATCACCTCACCCGGGAGCTTCGCACAACAGAAACTTACCCTCTCACAGTTCTGGAGGCCAGACGTACAGAACCAAGGTGTAGGTGGGGGCAGACTGTCTCAAGGGCTCTGGGGAGGATCCGTCCGTTCCAGGCCTTTCTCACAACTCCTGTCACCGGAGACCCTTGGCACTCCTTGGTTTGCAGCGGCTGCATAGCAGTGATCTCTGCCCCCATGGTTGTCACACGGCGCCCTCCCTGTGTGTGTCTGTGTCCAAATTCCCCTCTGGGGACACCCGTCACGCTGGATTAGGATACACACTGATGGGTGCATCTTAACTTGATCACATCTACAAAGACCCTACTTCCAAATGAGACCACAATGACAGGTACAGAGTGTTAGGGTGTTTGGGGAACACAATTCAACCCCTAAGAGCTGCCTAAAATCTGGAAAATCTAATGTCTTGCCTCTCCAACCCACTCTTCCCCTTGCCACCTGAGTCGTTTTTCTAAATTATAGGCACTGTTCTTCTCCCCTTTTTAGGAACCTGTCGCAGCTATAGCCACCCGCAGAATCAGATCCAAACTCCTTAGCATAGGAAGGCCTCCACTCTCTGGCCCTTTCTAACTTCTGCCTCCTCTCTCACTCCTTCCCCCTCCATATGCCTTGCACTCCAGCAGCCCCCCACCCTCCCCAAACGTACCCTGCACTCTGATTCCTGTGCCCAAAATGTCCTTCCTTCATCTGCTCTACATCCTGAACTCTTATTCATCCCATAAGCCCCCAGACAAGTGCTGCCGCCTCCAGGAAGCCTGCCCCAATCCTCCCTGTAAGTGAATCCCTTCTCCTCTGTCATCCAGGACCTACTGCCTACCTCACCTCATTCTGCTTATGGCCAGGTCTTGATATGTGTGTCTTCCCTGCCAGATCATTTCTTTCTTTTTGAACGTTTATTCATTTTTGAGAGACAGTGCAAGTGAGGGAGGGGCAGAGAGAGAGGGAGACACAGAATCCGAAACAGGCTCCAGGCTTGAACCCACAAACCGTGAGATCATGACCTGAGCCAAAGTCATACGCTTAACAGACTGAGCCACTCTGGTGCCCCCAGATAATTTCTTTAAGCCAGGATATAGTAGCACATGTAGGTCTCCCCTCTTCCCTCACCCCACGCCGAGGACAGATCCATATTCCATCTCTGTATCCCAAGGGCCAAGCATGGCACATTAGGTTCTTGGCAAGGAGTGTTTGTTCAGTCAATTACTTCCTTGACTGCTGAACCAGAATCAGGCTCATCACTCACTGCTGGTCTGACTTAGTCCCAAGTTCAGATAAAGTTGCAAATGTTAGGCACCTAGCACAGCATCCTGCAAGGAATGGTGGCTGTTGTTAATGTTATTTCTTACCAAATGGAGAGGGAACTTGACTTAGACCTGGTCTAGAGAAAATGCCATTTCTTTCAGAGACTGAATTGAGTTCCCCGAGGGGTATGAAAACATGGCAATGTAGCGATGCTGAGTGAGAAGTCTGAAAACTTATTTGTAGAGGTGACAGTGGCACAAAATTCAGAAGGAGGTCCTCCATACGTGGAGGTGAGCTACAGGTGCACAGGCCCAGAGAGTGCTGGGAGGAAGAACTCAGGGCTTTCCACGCCCTGCCTCCACCCCATCTCCTTTGCCTGCCTGGCTCTGTCCCAGTGTTACCCACCTCAGTGAATGGCTCCACCATCCACCCTGCTTTGCAAGTCAGAACCTCAAGCGTCACCCCTAACCTCTCCATCCCCTCCATTTCTAGATCCAAAACGACATCCTGTTGGTGTACATCCTCAACGCATTCAAAGGCCCAGGCATTTCCACGACCATCTCTGTCCAATTGTCCGCCGTCTCTCCCCGGTTCCCTAACTTCTCTCCCATCCCCACTCCTAACCCCACGCTGTAGCCCAGAGGTGCATCCAAAATGAAAATCAAGTCGTGAACAACACACACACCCATACATACATGAACACCCATTCATAAAACCTTTTAACAGTGGTTTGCCATTTGGCACTGGAATAAAAACAGAAATTCTTGGCAATGCCTACTTGGCCTGTGTGAGTGCCTCATCTTCGGACTCATCTTGACTTCTTCGCACCTCAGTCACTGCCACCCTGGCCTTCTCTCAATTCCTGGAATATGCATGCTCTCTCACCTCAGGGTGTTTACACTTTCAGCTCCATCCTTCTGGAATGTTCTTCTACCTCAACCAGGTTAGCCCATCCTCACCCTTCAGATTTCCATTCAACTACCCTTCTGGAGCAAAACCTTCCTCACCCCTTCTGAATAGGTCTCCCACCCCACACATAGCAGATCTGAATAGGTTAGGTATCCATCCAGTACCTCGAACCTCACGTCTCTCCTCTTCAGCACTTACTGTTGTTTGTGTCTTAGTGATTTACCGAGTATTTGATACAAGTTTCTCTCTTACTACACGATAGGCTCCATAGGGCAGGCACCAGGTTTCTTCTTCATTGCTGTGTTCTCATGACCTGGATCAGTGCCTGGTGAGTTACAGGTGCACAGTAAACATTTGTTGAGTGGATGAATCGTGAATGGATGAACGCATGCCTTTGTGTTTGCCCATGTGCCCGCTTGATTGAAATTCCAGCGTCCGGCACCAAAGAGCATTTGTATTAGGGAATGTGTAAAGGAAAGTGTTACTGGTCACCCAGCCTTTCATAAAATCATCTCAGTAGGGCCACCGCTGCAGCTACAAGAAGAGCGGGTGATGAACTGCATGAACCTGCTGCCCAGTCAACACTAGTTCAAAACGCTCCCCAAGCAACTTACATAAAACCGTTCAGTGAAGTTATTTTGCGTTGATTTGTCCATTGGAACAAGTCAGGGATCTCTGCCAAGAATAATGATTTCCTTTTCAGCACAGGCAGTGATTCTTCTGAGAAAATTGCCCAGGAGGTTTGGCTGCCTCTGCAGGCTAAAGATGTCTACGAAATGGAAAAGGACCGATTTTTTCCCCTCATTCACTGTGCCAAATGGGCGTGTAGCTGTCCAGCTAAAATTACTTGCCCGCCTCAAGAAATTCAGGCAGAAGTAAAAAGAAGGCGGTGGCGGGAATGAGATGAGAAGAACTCTGAGGCATGATGGCCACTGTGTATGGCTTTCTCTTTGCACCCCGGGGTTCAGTGCAGACCCTCTAGGTATTCTCCTGTGTGGTCCTCACGGACACACTCCAGACGGGGGTGATGTCACTATCTCCTGTCACTGACGAAGGAACGAGTGGCTCAAAGAAGTTAAATGACTCAGCCAAAGTCCACATCTAGGAAATCAGAAGCCAGCGTCTGAGACCCAGGTTGGTAGGACCCAAGCATCGTGTGCCATTATGGACCATAAATGAAATAAATCACGTACCTAGCATCCCAGCTCCCACCCTCCAGCCTCATTGGTCCTACAGCTAAACACAGTGAACCAAACCCACATCTGAATGCAAATTGTGTGGCTAGAAGTGTAGAAAATCTCACAACAGCCCTGCAGAGTACAGTACAGGGCATCAATAATGTCCCCACAGTCACATCATTAGTAAATTGCCATCTTGGTATTTGAACCCAAGATTCTGGCTTCAGACTGCTATGCATTTGACCCCTTCTCCTGTAGAACACTCCCCTCCTCTGCCAGTGGCCAGTATGCCTCTCCTCTCTCCCCAAGCAGAGGTTCCTGGGAACACCTAAGAAAAAGGGATTAGAGAACCAAGACCCAGGCTGATGGAGAACCCGATGCCTGCTTTTCTGAAAGCCACCCAGGTGTCTTTGCATTCATGGCAGGTACTGACCACAGCAATTATTCTGCTCTAGTTCCAGAGATGCTGAAAACATTGAAACATGAAGTCAGAAATCACTTAACAAAATAAAAACATTGCATTAACATCACAGGTCTGATTTTAACACTCTCTAGTCTGCTTATTTGGAAAGATCAGAAACCCTACCAGGATTCTTTCCCCTGTTCTCAGGGCGAGATTATCCCACCACACAAGCTGGGAGAGTCAACTGAAATCCCCACTGTTGAGAGGCTGAAAGAGACGTCCAGATTTCTAACAGGCTCCTCCTGCCTCAGAAGTTCTAGAAAGATGTCAAATTTCACTGGAGACGGCCAACAGTCCCCAGACACTTCAGAGCCCAAGGAAGCCTCAGGATGATGGTTCTTTGCACAGTTTAAATTACATCTTCTAAGAAAGGAGAGTAGCCAAAATACAAGTGAGAAATCCCATCAGTGTTTCCCTGACAAAAGAGCTCTTGCATTATGACTTCAATTATTCTTCCAGCATTTCTGATTAAAATATAATCACTTTCACATGGGTCCACAGGAGATAGGACTCTGGAAAAGAAATGATTCCTTCCGCACAGAAATAAAAGAAATTATAGGATTTTAAAAGACACGGTATAAAGTTAGATATGCGGCATTTGGTCAGGACCCATCAACATGTAAAACCCTCATGCTCTCTGACACACTACACCCCCAAAACCTGCCCTGTGACCAGGAAGGAGGCACGTGAGGGTCCATTGCAGGAAACCCCATGAGGGTGGGCATCTTGGTCTAGAACAGGCACTAACATTTACTAAATGCCTCAAAAATATTTATTGAATGATCAAATAAGTAGAGACAAGCTAAATACCAGTCAATAGGGTGTGGTTCGATGAGTTAAAGCAGAGCAAGACTTTGGAACAAAGGTCAGAGGTCAATTGTAAACATACACCACCATGTAAGGCATCCTTGTTATGTCACTGAGGGTAAAGCGGATGACTTGTATTATCACTTTTTGTTGTTGTTGTTGTTGTTGTCAACATGGAAAGAACAAAAGTCCTGGAAATGTGTGTGTGTGTGTGTGTGTGTGTGTGTGTGTGTGTACGTGCGTGTTCGTGGCCAAACTGGTAGCTGTGTTATACGTAAGGAGTTGGACTAGGAGAGAGGAATTATGGGATAGAAGACATCCATTATTTACTTTATATTTTTCTGTTTGGTTTGAATTTTCAGGAATCAATGTGTATTCATTTGTAATTTAGAAAGTATATCAACAATATCAAAAATGAAGGCTGCTGCCTGTTGTCTCATAAGCTGAGATCTCAGCTGTACAAGCTTCTAAGTTTCCAATACGCTGCAATTCACTGGCATTGATCTGTCTCTCTGGCTCTCATGTGATTCCGAGTTTGAATGTCAGCCAGGCTTGGCTATTGGCCACAGGACAAGGGTGG